CCAACTTTTTTTTGAAAATTTTACTAAAAGCAAAATTTTGAAAATTAAAAAAAAAAACGCAGCTGAAAAGGAAGGGTGTCAATAAGGCCGTTTTTTGGCCCACGTCAGAATCGCTCTAAACTGTGGTATTTTCTTCCTACCGATGTAGCTCACAACCTCCTAGAACCGTTTGCCGAGCAATTAGAGGCTGAGAACGGGCAACTTGAAATCTCAAAAATCAATGGAGTTTTTTACATGGTGGTAGTGCTGGTCTCTTTTCAGCATGTTATTGTTGGGAGGGAGGGAGAAAGGGATGGAAGGAGGGAGGGAGGGAGGGAGAGAGAGAGATGGAAGCAGGGGGAGGGAGGGCGGGTGGGGTGAGAGGTAGAGGGAAAAATGGAGGGGAGAGAGAGAGAGAGATGGAGGGAGGGAGAGAGAGAGAAAGAAAGAGAAGGAGAGAAAGGGAGAGGGAGAGAGGAAGAGAGATAGGAAAAGAAAGGGAAGGAAGGGAAAGAAAGGCAGAGGGTGGCAGAGGGAGGGAGAGGGAGGCAGACCTGGTCCCTCCCATCTGGTTCCCGTCATTCTCTCTCTCTCGCTCTTCCTCTTCCCCTTCTTTCTCCCTCACCCCCTCTGCCCCTCTTTATCCCTTTCTCTCTCTCTCCTTCGTTCCCTCTCTCCTTCTCTCTCCCTCCCTTTTCTTTCCTCTGCCCTCTCTGCCTCCCTCTCCACCCCTCTGCCCCCCTTTGCCACCCTCCCCCTCTTCCTCCTTTCCCTCCCTTTTCCCATTTCTCTCTTCCTCTCTCCTTCTTTTTCTTCCTCCCTCTCTTCCTCTCTCCTCTACCTCCCACCCGCCCGCCCTCCCCCTCCCACCCCCTTTACCTCCCACTCTTCCTCCTCCCTTCTCCCCCTCTTCCTCCCTCCCTCCCTCCCACAATGATATGCTGAAATGAGACCGGCATTACCACCATGTAAAAAACTTCATTGATTTTTGAGATTTCAAGTTGCCCGTTCTCAGCCTCTAATTGCCCGGACAGCAAACGGTTCTAGGAAGTTGTGAGCTACATCAGTAAGAAGAAAATACCACAGTTTGAAGCGATTCTCACGTGGGTGGGCCAAAAAACGGATATTTTTCTACATGGGTAATTTTGAAACAAAAGTTGGAGGCAGAAGATGAACTCCGATCAAGTTGAAATTTAAAGATATTATCCAGGTAGCAAGCACATGTCATTTTGACGTCAAATACTAGTCATATTTGTACAAATGACGTCAAATTACCAAAAAGCGACTATGTCTTTAAAAATGGCATTATACTGACGTCATTCTATAACGTCATTATGACGTCTATTTTTAGTCATTTTTGGTCTATGACGTCAGCGACTAATAATGGACGTTTATAAGACTATAAGGTCTTTTTGTAATATAACTATTTTTACTTCTTAATATTGTATAATAAAGTAATAATAAAATAAAACCACAAAATTAACTACAATATGTTTGTTCCGCAACTTTATGATTGAAGTGGTGAATTTATGGTATAAGTGGATGTAGTTGCGTGTGATTATAGTTTTATGATAACTATTTCATGCAGTGTTATATCAAAAAGATCATTACAAGATTTTTGAACACTTTAAAGATGTACTTGTTATAGACAAGTACAGTTAATAAGGAAGCATCAGAGTCAGAAGATCGTCACTGTCCACTGGATCATCGAAGTCAAAGCGATACGGGCGCGCCGCGGTACTGTACTCTAGGATGGGTGACCGCCTTGAGAGAGCGGCTGCACATGATACGTAAAGAAACAGTTTAAGAAACGTTTTTTTCCTAGATAAAGAAAAAGAACGTTTTTTTATAAACGTTTATCAAGTGAACATTTTAACATTTTAATTTGATAAATAACATTTCTAGAAACCGTACGTATGTCGTACAATGCACCTATTTTTGCCGTCAATAAGACGTCAGAAAATGACGTCAATTGTCTGTGACATTAGATCGTCATTTTAACGTCATTATACCGTCAGTTAGTGACGTCAGGAATGGTCAGTAAAGGATCAAAATTTGACGTCAAAATAACTTGTGTTTACTACAGTTTTAGACATATTCGCATCTTTTCCGCCTACTGGCGTTATAAAATTCAAAAAAATTTTTTTCGCTCCACCCTAATGTACACGTCATATGAAAGTCATACGTGAAATTAAATACCTTATTTAAGTAATTTTAGAAATAATTAAATCAAATAATTAAAAATCAGTAATTAAGTAAAAAGGGCACAGAGATGTTGATAAGATGTTGTTGTTTTAATCTTTAATTATTAGGTCGAAGTTAGACAACTTTACAAACGTTTCAACCTGGCATATTAGTCCATCCTCAGTATACAATAATACAGGGTGTAACAAAAAGATGGGGACAGACTTTGTGTGCTTATAAACAGAGTAGTTAATATATAAGTAATTTGAGTATAGGAATGCATGTCCGGCTGAAGCCTCGTTTCCGTGCTTCAGCAGTGAAGTTTAGTTGCCTTTTCCTGTGTAGGTAAAGTGTCTTTTCGGTAAAAGATAGCGAAAAAGTTTATTGGAGAAAGCTATTCAGAATTAAAAATCAAGTCCGTATATCAAATTTTAAATTAATTGGCCTACTTTGGTGTTTTTACTTTTTTATCATTGTCAGGTATGCCATGAATCAAACATCAAAGCAAGCCGATTGATTCAAAATTTGGTATAAGTGCTTGATTTTTAATTTTGAACAGCTTTCTCAAATAAAACTTTTTGCTATCCTTTATCAAAAAGACACTTTACCTATACATCAGGTAATTAGGCAACTTCACAGCCGTGTATAGCACGGTAACGTGACTTCAGCAAGCATGCACATTCCTATACTCAAATTGCTTATATCAATTTCCCCCTACAAGCACACAAAGTATGTCTCCATCTTTTTGTTACACTCTATATCAAAATTTTATAGACGCAAAGATGCTTTATTAAAGTACAACTTCAGTGTTAACCTCAATTAACTTGAATGTTAATTTGAAAAGATATCTAAAAGACGTATTTTATACGATTTATGTCCCGATTTTGGACATGCGTGCTGTCTGCAATAGGAACTCTCAAGTTGAAAATAACACTGAAGTTTACTCTCAAGTTGAGGCTAACACTCAAAATTAACACTCAAATTGAAGTTTACATCAAGTTGAGTGTTGAGTGTTCGAAATACCCCTCAAATATTAAGTGTTATTTTGAGAGTCTTTTTGAGTGTTTTTCCCGTGTAAAGGGAAAGTAAACGAGCAAGCGGAAGAGTAAGGGCCATTCTACATCAATACGTCACAAACGATGGCAACTGCTAGTTGAAAAGTGTTATTTCTAATTGTCGATTGCCAGTTGCTGACGCTAAAAAAGTTAAAAGTTTGCCAACTCTCTTTTGACAACCGCAACTGACAAGCGCAACCGGAAATAACACACTTTTCAACTAGTAGTTGCCACCGTTTGCGACGTATTGTAGAATGGCCTTAAAAGAGCGTGCAAGATAAAGCGCATCAGCGCATTGGTTCTTTTCCGCGCATCTGGTGGTTGACGACGGCCTTGTATTTTGCGGCAAATTTAATTGACAGCTGATGATAGTTCGTTTTAGTGGGATCATAGTATGTACTCTACATATTGTGACAGAAAATATAAGAGTTAGTAAAGATGAGATTAGTATATTAATATATATATAAAGTAAGTTATATACCCGGTAAACGCATCTATCAATATATAGTGACATTAAAAAAAGAATATAATTTATTAATAAAAAATTAGTTGCAGTTAGTAAATTGTAAATGTAAAATAATATAATAAAACATATATGTAACAAAAAATAATATATATATATATCCTATATGTAGTGAGAATGACTCATATGTATATAAAATAATTTTTTTAAAGAGAATTAAAGCTACCACTTGGGTTTTTTCGAGGTACAAAAAGATATTATACGATTTACCATTTGGGTTTACTTAACAACATACACTGCGCGTGTACTTGATGGTGCCTTTTTTTAAAAAGATAATTTTGTACTGTAATTTAAACGTAGCATTTATAAATGTAGCAAATATGGGGACGGCGCGTGCCACTCTTACAATTAGCCTCTAGGGGCGCTAGCAAAATTGCAATGCGTTCCGACAAGACACCGCTACTGAAGCGCTACCGTAGCGCTACACAATAATCAGTAACGCTAACTATAGCATAGCGCTACAAAATATAGCGAAAAAAGCTTGAAAAAACTGTAGCGCTTCAGTACGGTATCTTGCCGAAACGCACAATGAAACGTATTAGTGATTGCATCATTGCGCATCGTCGCCGATGGCTTTATATGTAGTGGCAATGACATTCACAGGAGCATTTTTATCTACACCTATGTTTACATATGTTAATACAATCGATAAGAATTCAATTAATAAAATCGGCATAATAAAAATTTAATTAGTAAATTCATTGCTCATTTAAGAAATCTAGATCTTTGAACTCCATCATTCATTTGTCACTGATTTAATTAAATTGACAATATTTCATCAAATTGCAAATTCTTATCGATTTTGCGCGGTATAAAGTTTATTGAAAATAAATTTCAATTAGAGCACGTAAATTTTAATTTTTTTGGATGTATGATCAAAAAATTATTAATTTGATAAAATGCATGAGCACACACAAAACACGCGCGCGTGCACACGTACGCACGCATACACACACGCACGCACGCACAAACGCACAGTATTCCGATATCTGATAATTTCTATCTATTGATCGAATTCCTAAAAACGATTTGTACAAAGCTATTATCTAACGAAATAAATGAGAAAAAATGTAAGGACATAACAGCAATTTGATACTTGCATTTTATGTGGATATAAAGTTTTTATTTAGCAAAATAGCATTTAAACAATAAAAACGTATTTTAAAGTGATTTCTTAAAATGGAGACGCTTCATAAGTATATTATTATTATTTCTTCCTGTAAGAAATTTGTCTGAAAAAATAGATAAATGCAATTAGATTAATGTAAATAGCGTTTATTATTCACTCTTTTTCGTCATGACAATAATACTAGATTGATGCATTGAAGCTGTCTAATAAAAATTGAAGCTAGACAGTCTTGAAGTGTTAGAATGGTAATTGATTTTATTGCACTTCTTCCTTCCAAAACAAGTTCTTTTAAAAAGTCCCTATTGAAGAGAAGAATTTTAAAACTACTTGTGTTTTAACGATAAAAAACAGTAGAAAAACGGAGAATCTTCGGTTACTTAAGGAGGTTCGCCTACTACTTATTCTAAAGTCAAAAATGCGATTGAATAATAAGTCATTACAGCGATCCCGAATTATATATGCAATATTAGTATAATGAATTGTAGATGCTAGTTATGTGCTATATTCTTCGTAAATTATTAGTGTATAGAATATTAACAAATATATGCCGACGTATGAGAGCGTCAACGACTCGGGAATCGTTATCAAATACTTATTATCCAACATTATAAAGTAAAGTATAAATTACAAATAATTTATAAAAACCTATATGAACAATTGTCAGAGAATACTAAAGACTTAAAATGACTAATACATTGATGATTGCGTGTCGTGAATTCATGATTAGTAGTTAAAGATATATGTCGGTTATGTCAAAATAAAGGGATAAAGCTGAAATTTACAGAGATTGTGCACTTATATATCCCAAAAACCTGTGTTAAATTTGCGATCAAAATGGGACAAAATTGCGATTTTTACGCTTTTTCTGTCCTAATGATACCATGTTGTTTATGAATAATTTCTGAGATTAGCTCTACACTGTTTAATCAAGAAAACAAAATTATACTACATATAGCTATAGCGACATACATCTTTAACACTAAAGTCGAACACTATTCTCGAATCGTTTTCATGAAACTCGCATGCGAAATTCAATACTTTTCAAATAGAAAGTCGCATGCGAACAGGCTCGAGAATACGGTCCCTGTTTGTGAGGTTGGGTTCGCAACAGCTGTTGCGTTGCCAATAATGGCAACGTCTGTCATTACTAATTCGATCCATGAGGTAAAAATAAACTTTGTGGCAATAAAGCTTTAAATCTACACAGTAAAATCTTATTTTTAAAGTTTTTATGCAATCCTTGATGTTTCATCTGTCAAATGCTAGTTTTTCAAAGTCCTAAGTTGGCTAAGTGTGTACTAAATCAGTGATCATTTACCTCATCAGAGCGACCGTTTCTCATGAGGCGATAGGCTCAAAGTGGTCAACTTCTGAATAATATTACAAAAAAACTATACGGTCAATATTGCTCAACTTTTGGGATTATTTGTGTAAAGTGTTTGTGTAAATCATATAAAAAAATTAAGACTCTAAGTTGACTTTCGACTAATAGGCGAACCTTCTTAATACAAAGTATCTTGATTCTATATATAAAAATACTTATTTATAAAAAAATTTTATAAATAAGAATTTAGCAATTTAATACTGTGCATATGTATACTGTATATACAACAATAAGTTCCTATATATAAAATTCTCAGGAACAACACGCCGCGAAAATAACAGAAAGTGTCTTATATAAAAACAATAATCGCGGCGTGGACTAATTCAACGATTAAAAAACCGTATACATAATTCAAGCTACAAGTTGAATTGTCAGCTAAAATTCATTTATTTCAACTGCCATTACGCTCGTGCTTGGACAGCTCAATGTTACTCGCATCACTCGCAGATGGAAATTTATCGTCACTGCTGATCCATACGTGGAAACCTGCAGCGCTTCGATAATGTTGCACGATATTAACGATGCCCATCACAATGTATACTACGGCTAGAATCAGGAAGTAGCTGCCGTAGACGAAAAACTGAAATGCGAATAATTCCCAGCGTTATTTGAGGAGATACCCAACACCCAATCTCAAAGTATTTTTAGTGAATCATTTTACCTGTTGTCTAATATTTAGCATGAGCGTATTGACGACCACGAGCGTCAATATGCTCTGCGTTAATAACGCGAAGAATGTATTCATCCCGAACACAAGGCCGTAGCTATCCTCGGATATACATTTGGCGACTTCGAAGCTACGAACAAGTAAAAACAAAACACTTTCTGATTTTTCTCTTTCCTCATTCATCCTTATTGTTATTTTATTCGAATCAAAAATCTATTTTAATTTTTCGAAGAGTATTTCCAAATTAAATCATGTTCTTAATTGCGAGTTCACCTTGCAACAGTGACCATGGTGTGGTAAATTACACCAAAAATGACGTAACCAAAATACAGAAGCCAAATGTTGTAGCTATAAGAACATCCTAATAGTATACCGCCTTCCAGCAGTGAGAAAATAGACAATGTCAGGTCACCTAATAGGGTCCAATTTAACTGTACCCTTCCTACACAAAATACGGTCACCGCACCTGATAAAAATAAAAAAATGTGTAAAAAATCACTGCTTTATTACATAATTTTGTTTAATTGATCTCCATCAATCGCGCTATTTCACCTTATTGGTCAGTTTTAATTAAGAAGCTATTTCTTAAAGAAGTTTTAAGAACGACAAGTAATCGGAGTGCAGTTTACTGACAATGAATTGGAAAAAAGTTAGAAATATACAAAATTTACACAGAAATATAACGACACAAACACCTTGTTGTGGTTATAAGCCCCTTTCCCATTTTGACTTTTAATTAAGTTTTAATGCATCGATAAACTGCTCAACACATCTAATCTCATGATTTGCATTTAATTGATAAGTAGCTCTGCTTGGACTTAAATTAAATAGCATTTTTTAATTGGACATAAAAAATAAGATGTTCTTCTATAATGTAATATTTTATAATTTATGTTATACAAATATATATACATATATATATATATATATATATATAATATTATTTCTAGGATCACGTGGTTTCGCTTTGACATTAGCGTCAAGAAATGAAGTTGAATTTATTCAACATCCAGTGTTGACGCTGAATCGTCGTTGATCATCCCAGTACAATCAAAAATGGACTCCAAAATACGTAAAAAAAGATTAATTATTTTCTCAAGTAATATCTTCAAGTAGTAATATTTTACGTATATATACATACATACATATACATATATATTATTTCTGAAAATTTTTGCTCGCTGAAAATGAGCGTCTTCAAAATAAGTTCCGACTATGAATACGGGCCTTATGTGTGTCACACAACAGTTCAAACTGATGGTGTTTTAGATGCGCGTAACAGACAAGGCCGGTGATTAAATTTCTTATCATGAAAGAAGTGAAGTCCTATTAAAATTCATTCGCATTTTAGAAATGGTGCTATCATAAGCATTTCTGAGACGCGAATGAATTTCAATGGCTGCGTTCAGCAGAAAAAACAACTCAGCGTGCGATCAGCATTTTTTTAAAACAACTGGACCTTGCCTTTAGTTCTTCCCTAGATCCAAGTGTAGAAATCAATCATAATAAAGAATCATTGAGCTGCTTTTTCCGCTGAACGAAGTCATTGGAACTTACTTCTTCCACGGTAAGAAATTCAACCATCTCTCTGTCTGTTACGCATATCTGAAACACCTACCAGTTCAAACTGCTCATGTGACACACTCAGGTAAATGATCACATCACTCAACATAGTGCAACTATGCTCTCTCGTTGGACGAAGTATAGAGACTTCAAGTAACAACTCATAGTGTTTTCTACTGGGAAAACTAGTGCAATACTGATGCACACTGAGTGCAATTTTATTGTTCCTCTGTGAAAATTAGTTCACATATTTTCAGTGCTCAATGTTCTACTCACTACTGACAAATACTAGTGCAAAAATATTGCACTAAGTACAACTTTTGCTCCACCGTCTTTAGAGACGGTGGAATACTAGTGCAAGTTGAAATTGAGTTGTTTTTGTGCTTTAAGATATGTGTTTAAGATTGCTTAAACGGTTATAACGATAGCGAAGTCGAAAATATAAATTAGCATTTCAGCACGGCAATTGCGAGCACCGAGACTTGAGCATCATCGCCGGGACTTTCAACGTGACGACCAAATGAGTAAACAGTTGAGACAAGGCATTCTTTGTTCGTTTTGTTTCCTCTGTTTATAATTGTCGATCGCGCATCTCTCGGGGACTTCTCTCGGTGAAGCGTGTATCGAAAAGTCTCGAATTTGCGAGAAGCCCCCGAGAGCTTAAAGGGACACGCGCTCTTGGCAACGGGGCCAGTCGCTCTCTGTTTTCCGAGTTGCCGCTGTCAATATTTCGAGTTGCTTGCTCCTGTTCTTTCGCGTACGCTTAATAGGTAGAGTTGCTCGCTCTTTCGCTCGCTTAATCTTTCGCGCTGCCTGCATCGGCGCTTGCTTGCGCTTTCGCGGCACGATCTCTTCCATCGTTATAATTGCGATACAGCTTTGTAAATAGTGTATATAGACAAATAAACTGTGCTTTTTCGTCAATTCTGCTCTTTGCCTGTCTCTTCCTATACGCGGTTCGTGTCCTCGCTCGCGCGCGCGGTCCGCTTTCGAACAATATGATACATTAAGATATATCATTATATCCCAATCTGGTCATATATACATCGCGTCTTGTCATATATGATCATGTATGTACAGTGCCGATATAGTTATGTATGACCATATATAATTATATCTGATAATACATGGCCAAACATTCTTTATATACGATCATGTAAGGCCAGATACGATTATGTATAGTGTCATATCTGCTACACATAATAATATGTCTGACCATATATGAACTTATATGATCAGATCTTGTGTCATGTATAATATACGATCTGATCATATATGGCAATAGATAACCATATATGATTATATATGCTCTATATATGGGCATGTAAAACTTATATCTGTTCGTATCTTATTTATATATGAACATATATGAACATATATAAGTTTTACATGTTCATATATAAATATATACTGTCAGATATGAATATTTTTTCCCGGGATGATATTAAATAGTATTCTAAACTTCATAAAAACGATATTGTTTTTAGTCTTGACATATTTAATAATAGCTGCGCAATGATATTAACATTTTAACATGTAAAAATCTTGAAATGTTTAGAAACTGAAGAAATAAATCAGAATATTATTGTAAAATAAGCAATTTATGTTTGTGTAGTTACATGTATTTTTACTATTTAGATTAAGTTATAAAATAGATATTTTATTAGTGATGTTTCACTGAACCACACAAGGGTGCGTTCGGTTTGGACGCTCACGCGCTGTAAGCGCTCACGCTTATAAGCGCTGTTTTCAATCATTCGATTTGGTATCTGAGCGCTTACACAGTAGTAAGAAATGTCGTTTGTTTTGGCAATGTAAGCGACTATGAGCACGTCAAAATGGCAGACGATAGGTTATTGTGTTATATTTGCACAAATAATAACATTATTAGAATTATTATTCGATAAGGAAGAATATTTAATTTTTAAAATAAACCCTTTTTTAGAATAAAGCAAGCAACATTTAATTTTATTCTACAAATTTTAAAACCTAAAATTACTAAGATCAAAATCAGGACGTAAAACAATATTTATCGCTATATGGAAAATGGTCACCCCAGATTCACATCGATATGTTATTAATATTATTATTACACATTGTTGTTTCAATTTTTAAATCAAATAAAGGGAAGTGAAAGAGGCAATCAGAGTTATTCGTTGTGAATTTTTATCCCCACCATTAACTCGAATGTACACACCGCTTTTATTATGTTAAGGGTCCATATCCCTCAGTAGGTCCAAAAAAAAGGTTATTTTTGTGAATTTTTTGTGGAGAAAGTAAACAAAATAAATCATTCAATATTTTTGGATTATATTTATGATACTTTTAAGTAGTTATAAAAATTTTTTTAGCCCATTTGGCGAAGTGGGATACTGGGCAACGGCGACCTGTGCGCGGAATATGTTGCTCCATGGCGGAAGTCCTCCAGGTCGTAAAATGTTTCTGAAACATTTAATCAATCGATTTTCCTGTTCAGTACAAGTGTCCCTATAGAGTAGACTACAATCATATCGATATATGCAATATTTAATTTTTTATAAGCAAAAAAATATCGAAAATTTATAGTGAAAATTAATTTTTCTTTTTGAACTGCCACTATTTTATGAATTTTTATTCAAAATAATGTTTTTTAGTCTACTCTATAGGGACACTTGTACTGAACAGGAAAATCGATTGATTCGATATTTCAGACACATTTTACGACCTGGAGGACTTCCGCCATGGAGCAACCTATTCCGCGCGTTGCCCAGTATCCCGCTTCGCCAAATTATTTAAATGGGCTGAAAAAATTTGTATAACTACTTAAAAGTATCATAAATATAATCCAAAAATATTAAATGATTTATTTTGTTCACTTTCTCCACAAAAAATTCACAAAAATCACCTATTTTTTAAACCTACTGAAGTATATGGACCCTTAACTTTCCGATTTCTACCAACGCTTCACTCACTCACGACATGTCAGAGCGACAGATACATTTTAACACTGCGACTTACTGGTCTGTAATGGTCCGTAAGCAAGAATTCGTGATTTTAATTTTAATACTGATTCACTGCGTTTTTTAACATATTGCGACTCCGATTCACGGTTTAGAAAGGACAATCGAATCTCTCCTTTTTACCTGGTCTGGTCTTCCAACCTGGGAGTAAACGTCGAAGGTACGATCGATTCGGAGCATTTGCATATCCTGACAGACTACCGAACATTCGTATGAATTTTATTTTATTGATTTGACTGCGCTTTTCTACTGATTGACTCATTTTATTGCGATTGACTGTAATTTATTGTATGAAATTTTTATGTATTATTTTTATTTTTACGCTGAAGGTGACACAAAAAAAATGTTGAAACGTCCGAATTTGTATTAACTAATATATTTTATTATTGACTTATTTTGATTGCGCATTAATTACCGCGCGTGGCTCTGATTGCCTCTCTCACTTCCCTTTATTTGATTTATTCAGGAGAGCCTATATTTCGTTTATTCAATTTTTAATTTGTGAGAAATTCAATGTAGAAAAAGCCACTGCGTTAAATGCTGGAAATTGGAATTTTGTTACAATTTTTCCGTCTATAATTCGATTCGACGACATGTTTGTTGATATGCAATCCGCTAACAATGCGTTCCGAAATGAACGTAAGCGCTTAGCGCTTGATCACGCTCACACTGCCCTACCTTGCAGAAATAAGCGTTTGTCAGCAAAAGTTATGACGTCACGATGACGTCATTAATCGATCCGTAAGCGCTTACAACTCCAAAGCGAACGACGTGAGTAACGCTCATAAGCGCTTACAGCGCGTGAGTGTCCAAACCGAACGCACCCTATAAACCTGCATTATTATTGCACTAGCACAGTTTTCATTGAAACCTAGCACAGCGCTGGTGTTGTCCTAGTTTTCCCAATAGAAAACGCTATCAGTGAGACACAAAATTTTCTATGGCGCAAGATTCGAAAGAAAAAAATTGGGAGGCATTACTTTCGTACCGAACCTCGTATATAATGGCAAGAATATACATATTTATATATATAGGATATTTATAGTATTTTTCTTGTCTCATAATTTACAATAAAGATAAATATTATCAACCAAAACTGTTTATTGCTTTGACGTATAATGTTATCAGCCATCTCTATTAAACTTATCTCATCAGTATCTACTTATTTTAGATTAAAGAGACAAAATTACTCATTCTTATTATTAGTAGATTGCATTAACGAGATTGCATTATCGCTAAACATGAGGTATAGATATAACTAATGGTACAGAATTGATTCCATTGTTCTGACTTTTTAATTTACTTTTACAGAATTTGAATAAAATACATGTTTCACCAGAGACAGCTAAAGCATCTTCCTTACCTACGATTGCATAGATGAAGTCCACGGCACCGTTATAAATCCTGTCCTCTGGCTCCACCGCTGTCTGCCACAGCAGCTGAATGTAGTTGATGACTTGCAGATAGCCGCAGGTGGCTAGTGCCCACCAGACCGACCACTTCGCCACACGATAATTGGTATAAGCCTTCACAAAGTGTTTCCACAGCAGCGCATAAGCGTTTCCGATCTTGCAAAGCAACGACGCACCTGACAATACGAAGCAGCAACTCCTTATTTTGCCATTCTCGACACTGGGCGATGATTTTCGCAGATTACTTGAATGTCGCGACTGATGATCGAGTGCCCCTTTCCCTTGCTCCTCGTCGGAAACGCTGCTTGTGTGATGGAAGTACATAGACTGATTTACAGAAGGCAGAAAAAGCGACCAGACCGTTGCGAAAATGCAGGCTGAAAAACAAAATATATAACATTATGTTATTTATAAGTGTTTCATATAGTACGAATTATTATATGAAACATTTATAAATATATAATATATATACAAAATAGTGGTTAATGTCATTACTTCGCGAAAGTTATATGTAGAATTCTATGCAAATTATGATTAATTCATAATCCAACATAGTTTAAACATTTAATTTACTTGTATACTTCGGATTATCTTATCTTATGTACCTGAAAGAGTTATAAAATTGAGCTGATGATAATTGAGTAAATCGAAGGAAGCCGTTAATTGTGCTACAATGCCAGACATACTACGGCCAAACAACGTAGCCGCTTTAGTATGCCCCGTCACCTCTTGATAATGTTTTTTGTCCACTTTGGCGTATATATAAGTATAATAGGCTACTTCTGTGGAGAAAAACAGGCCATAAAAAAATTCCACGATTTGGAATACTATCACAGTTTTGCCAAGTATTATCATGAGGAACGTGATGATGCCAGAAATGCCGCATAATACAATAATAGGTTTATATCTGACGAAGTCTGTGACCAAGAAGACAAGTATCAGCGTTGCCAAGTAGCTGTACGTAGCCACAGGATAGATATGTTGATTCACCTGAAAGATTAAACATATTGTCAATATCATTTAATTATTGAATGGAAACAACATCATTCAATATTTTAAGAAATAACTTCGTCAGATGTAAAATTCTTCCATGGCCCGGTCAAATAATCGGTCACAAATGATTCAGAGGGTCGAAAGTCCTTAAAGCATCCAAACATGCACAAGATACACGAGATCTTGACCCAATGCATTCTGTCTTGTGTTTGCTCCGTTGTTCAATACATTACCTCAACAAATTTAAAAAATCCTTAATGCATCTCTACAAAGAAAGAGAAAAAAAGACATACATTAATTTATTCAAACATAATGCATAAGTTAAAAATTTTAAAAATATATTTAATAGATTTCTATTTAATAAATAACAGTATTCTAACAAAACATTTAATACAGTAAAATAAAAGACGTTTAATTTTATTTAATATTTCCAGATTTTATTTTTTTTCATTTTTAATTATTTTCTATCTTACCTAACACTTCAGTTATTAATTTAGTTATTGTCTGTTGTAATTAAACGTTTCAAATACTTTCTTACACTATAGCACATTTAACTTTACCTTCAAAAAATCTTGCACAACCCCCGCATCTGCTACTACCTTTCACTGCCTTCTGCTGCCAAAATAATTCACGTGCTGATGTGCCGAGCATCTACCGAGATTCACTTAAAAGTAATAGAAGGGAAACTCCAAACATCAAGACTAGAGCACAGTATAAACCACAGTATAAGTAGATACAAGTATGTTCACTCACAAGGAAACCTCGCAAACTCGAAAATTCTGATTTTAATGAAACTTTCCACACATGTAGGAAGGAAAGGGGGAGGGTAAAAAGATTAATTTAAAAATTTTTTGTTGTTGCCCAAAAACAATTCTAAGGGGTGAAATTACCCCTCACATGTAGAAGCGGCTTTTTACTTTCCTCTCTTATATCTCAAAAAATATTTAAGATATCAAAAAATGTTTCATATAAAAGTTTTATGGTAAAATCTCCTCTATTCAACAACATTTAAAAAAAATTTTTTTTATTAAAAATTAGAAAAAAAATTTTTTTAATGTGTTTAAAATAGAAATGTTTTTACCTTAAGGTGATCCTAAAGCCGTGATTCTAGCCGTTTTTTTTCGG